CTCTATCAATGAAAGGATAATTACATTATCTTTCCTTCCTTTTCCAGTCCTTCCCAGAATGGTTCTCCTCTCCCTTACCCTTCTCTCCTATGTCTCTTCTTTTCTCTTTCCTTCTCTTCCTTTTCCTTCCCCTTCATCCACAGTCAGCCTACTTGCTTTGATTTATATTGTATTTGTAATCTGAGTGGTTTGACCTTTAAAAATTCAGGCTTTGGACATCGAATACTTGTATTTGAGATTTGAATCCAACACTTATCACCAAAATGAGTATTAAGTTTTCAAAAAAATCTCTGCCTGTTTTTCCATGTGTAAAATGGGCAAGTAACAGTATCTGGACTTTATTCTCCCTTCCTGTTTAACTGGAAATTTGATTAAATGTCATAATCTAGGCTGGATATTTGTCATAAGAATTTGGGAGACATTTTCCCAATAGTCTTCTAGTACAGCTGATGAGAAATCTTATGGCTCTTCAATTCTCTTTTCTTAGCCATGATTTGTTCTCAGCATCTTCTAGCCTCAAGAATTTAAATCCTCGAGCTATGTCTACATATTTTGACTAAAAGTTGTTTTCTTTTGATTAAAACCATACTTCTAGATCTTAGCAGATAGATAGGCGCCCTATGGGTAGTGCTCCTGTGTACTCTTTTCACTGTAAGCTTAGCATATTGCACTAGGTTCCACACACAGCAGGTATTCAATAAACATTTGTTGAATACATGAATGAGTGATCTCTCCCAAACTTAAGGGTATTAAATTGCACACAAGGATTTAAGGATTTCATTCTACTGGACTTAAAATTACTTTAACAAAGATCAATACTACTGTGAGTTTACACAATATATGCTATTCTGCCTTTTTCAGACAAAGCAGTAAGTGATAGGTTCTTTTTTTTAATATTTATTATTTTTTAGTTGTAGTTGGACACAATATCTTTATTTTATTTTTATGTGGTGCTGAGGATCGAACCCAGGGCCTCACACGAGCTAGGCGAGCGCTCTACCGCTGAGCCACAACCCCAGTCCCATTGATAGGCTCTTTGCACAAATTTTCTATTTGGTCTTGAAATAATCTGGAAATATAGATGATTATCTGCCTCAAGACTTGTCTGAGATTATTCCAATAGGAAATGGTAAAGCTGAAACTAGAATTTAAATTTGATGGTAAAATCCAGACTTTCCACTTGGGGCCTGCTCTACTCCATTTGAGTTCATTCCTCCGCTTGCCTCCTAGCAGTCATTGACTATGAAAAATCACATTTTCTCAATATCTCAAAAGCCACTTTTAAACTTTGTATCCATCCTTGTCTACCCTCTTTGGGCCTCCATCTTCATTCTTGTATCCCAAGGCAATTTTAATCACATTTAAGAAACTATAAAATATTATATTAATCTATTTAGTGTTTGAATGAAATGTCAAGCATTTCCTTTTATTACTTAGCCAAATGTACATTTTATAGTATAGAATGAAATGAACTTGAAGAAAGGTATTTCTTGTTTGGATAATTTAAAAGACTTTACAAACAATAAGACTTGTCAATTATGACATTTGTATTTTATTTTCAAAATTATGTTGTCTCACAGTTCTTTAAATATGTAATTATCATGGAGCAGTGTTTTCTTCTCAAGTTTTCTTGGTTATCTTTAGTATATTAGAAATTTAAACCAAAAATTTAGACATCTAAAGAAAAATCTTTCATTCACTATCACCCCCACAGAAATATTGTTAAAGTATATTTTAAAAGCAATTATATTTGAATATTTTCATCTGGGAAGTTGAATGCTACACTCTTTGATTATTGATTCATGGAAAATTTTTATATAAAAACAAGTATTTTCCTTGAGATTGTCTCAAAATATAACTTGTTGATCAAAGTTGATCATAGCTTACATTTTCGAACACATAAAACCTCAAGGCGCTTTTAAAACTCTTTTTGAAAACCTGTGTATAGCTAGATTTTTTTTCAACATTACCAAGAAGTCAAAGAAAGCTAAGTAAATTTAAACCAACTTGAACAGAAACCATAGGGTCTCCTGGTGAATGTAACACAGGATCCATGACTATAGGTTTTAGCTATAAAAGAAGGATCAGTGTTCACAGTTTACCAATATAAAAATCAATATAATGTTTCTCCTTTATGTTTTTAATGAAAAGTAATAAAGAGAGAAAGTATTAATGGAACATTTTAATGAAGGTGTTAATGAAAACTATTAAGGAGAGATGGTTTTGCATCTGATTAGATATAAGAAACAATAAGGACTGGAGATATGGTTCAGTGGTAGAATGTTTGCCTAGCAGGGAGAAGGCTCTGGATTTTACCTCCAGCACCACCACACAAGAAAGCAGGAAAAAAAAAAAAAAAGTCAGCTAGGCATGGTGGTATCTGACCATAATCACAGCTACTTGGGAGGTTAAGGCAGGAGGATCCCAAGTTTGAGGTTAGCCAAGGCAAATTAGTGAGATATCATCTTGAAATTAAACAAACAAACAAGGACTGGGAATGTGGTTTAGTAATAGAGTGCTTGTCTTGCATGCACATGCAGGAGAATATGGGTTTGATCCCTCAAAACACAACAACAAAGATTAGCCAAGCACAGTGATGCTCCCCTGTAATCTCAGCTACTTGGGAGACTGAGACTAGAGGATCAAAAGTTTAAGATTAGCCTGGGAACCTTAGTGAAATCCAGTCTCAAAATTCAAAAAGCAAACAAAAAGGGTTGGGGATGGACCTCAGTGGTAGAGCCCCCAAGTACCACACACAAATTAGAAAACAGTAGCTTCCAATTTGGCAAATTCAAAAATAGATGATTTGAGATGATTGTGAAGACTCATTTATTTTTTCTATGACATCAAAATACTTACAAACAAAACTACCTGTGGTCAGTTTTGAAAATATCCCTCAGAACAAGAAAGAAAAAGATAAATATGATTGTATGTGGTTAATGCATGTTAACATCAAGTATCTCCAAGTATTAAAAGCATGAAAAGTTCAGCATAACTTTATCTACTTTAAAAATGGAAAGCATAAAATTTCATGAGTCTCTAAGAGCTAATTATAACAACAGATTTGTTTTTTAATGTATATTCATTGAATGGAATAACGCAGTTTATCTCTAGTATTATGATAAAATGAATTGTTTATCAATCAAACTGTATAACAGCCACTCACGCACATGGTAAAAAAAAAAGTATATGGGACTCACATTTACAAATTTCCCTTTTGAGAACTACTAAGATAAACTAGTGAAGCAGCCCTTGAGTCATTTGATGTTTCAGTTCAAATCTTACATGCATTGAATGCCAACACTGGAAACATAAATGCCTACTGTTATCCCTCATTTCTTAGATTAAACAACTGAGTCCAGACAGGTTATAGATGCTTGACACACATCATTATGTATTCAGACTGCTAAGCCCGTGCCTTGTCCACTACACCACTGAGTTCTTTAACTCTGAGAAACTGGAGTTTAGGAGCCGGTTGCAATTATTTTAACATAAATATCCTTAAGAACAAAGTATACTATTTAAAGGATTTCTTGAATGGAAAACATGATTTTTTTCCTAAGTGATTTGCCTGTTAGATTGAAAGAGAAAGTTGTCCTTACAACAACAGAAAGAGTATACAGGTTGTTACTTCAGAAAACCACTAGGTAAATTTGCCTTTACTTTTGTAATACTATGAAGATGTGTGTTCTATTTGAATAGCTTCTATAAAATTTTGTAATATAGTCAAAGAAATAAGTCATCATGATGCAACATATATAAGGAATGATTCATTGATGAACATGTTTGGTATATAGAACATTTGACAGTCTAAGGGAAATGTATATATAAACTGAAACTGTGAAATCAGGAAAATACCAAATGACAAAAAAATTTTCCGGTAAAGCTGATATTTCTTATACTTTAATCCAATCTCAATTTTCTGAAAGAAAATGTATTTGTTCTATCTGCTTGTAATGGCAAAAGCAAATACTCCAGCTATACACTAAAATTATAGTAATAATTCATTTTAGTGATGCTACAGTTTTAAAGACATGTTTCTATCTTCATAGTTCCTTAGTCAAGTTCTAAGAGGAATTATATAATACAATAATATAACTTTAAATATATACACTTATTTAAAATAAGTTGCATGATCTTAGTGTTGTGGACTAGACATGTATAGTGCCTATACATTTTTTAATGAATACATTTTAATTCTTTTCACCCTCTATTCTTTCAAATGATCCATATATGACATCTGAGCATTTCATTTTCTTACCAGAATAATTTCAAAGTTTCATTGAAAGCTATTGCCGCCTAATCTTGTTCCTCTTAGGCTGGAGCCTTGTGATTGGTAATGTCATGCACACATACAGCCAAGATACTCATATCACCTTACATTTTGTAATTGCTAGTGGATAGCCAAATAAAATAAAACCCACTCAACTCTGGTTTCAATAAAATATACAGGGTCATTTCTGACTTGAAATTTACACATTTTCAACCTTGATAGAAATTTAAGCCAGATTTATAATCTTATAAAACATTGGTTTATTCCAGAAAGTTACTAAATAATAAGGAAGAAAATCAGTATTAGTATACCGGAAAGAAATGAACAAACAAACCATGCATGCTGTTAAGAAGTTTGTGAGATAGCTCTGTCTTTAAAATGCAGAATCATCCAGAAAGTTCATCAATGGCATTCATTCACTAAATTTAATAGCAAAGTCATTTCTACTCTTCCACACCCCTTCGCAGTAACTGAACCTTTACTAGTTTGTACTGTGCTTGAAGTAAAAAAAAGCAGCAACTGAACTAATCTCAGTGCTTCAGAAATAAGCTAATTTCATGCTGAGAGTGAGCAGATACAATCAGAAGATAAAATGATGGTAAATATTACACATGTTCCCCCAGGAAATGCAATTTCTTTAGAATGATTTCTTTTAAAGAAAGAGAAATACAGGGAAAGAGTTAGATGTCAAAAAAAAAAAATAGTTTTAAGTTTTGAATTTACTTACCAGTTTCCCAAATGCAGGGTCAATAATAAGAACATCAACCTCACCCCTCTACTTTGACTCCACAGAAGAAAAGGGGAGAAGAGAAAAGCTTTCCAAGAACCCATCGGGATCTCTTTTTCTGTTAACACTGCCCAATCTCCGAACCAGGACTTTGCCTCCCACCTCAGCAGCAGCCCAGTGAGTAGGAGCTGGGAGAGTGTGGAATGGCCATACACCTCCTAACCAGGTAGGATGCGACTCCCAGCGGAACTCAGCCGGGAAGCCAATCAAATCCCGAGGATGCTGGCATAAATTATCTTAAAAAGAGTTGGACCAATCAGTGGCCCAGAGGGGCGGAGCTTCCCCTACTAGAAACCGAGCCCAGTAGGGAAAAGGGCTCCGTTTTTCTAAAAGAAAATAAACCTCTACTTCCTCCCAGCCGCAGAGAAACGTTTGAGTGGCCTTGACAGACCTCCTCCCTAAGGAAAGACTGCCTCCCTCTCCCCCGCCGCCCAGTCCCCAGCCTTCCCTCCTGTGGGTTTCAAAGAAAATGCCGCTTTCCCTCTCCTGGGTTTGGCTTCGGAATCTGTTTTCCAAGAGAGATCGGGGGGAAGCAGGCAGCGCCTGTCCCTCCCACCCCCCACCCCCGGGCTAGGGAGAATTCTGTTCATTTTGGTTAATTATCATTTGTTTATTTTGAAGGTGGGGCGTTGCCTTTTTTTTTTTTTTTTTTTTTTTTTTTTTTTTTTTGCACACCTCCTACCTGACCCAGCGCTCTGCACAAAAGAGCTCTCGGGAGATGCTGAATCTGTAATTGAATGAATGAGTGAGAGGGCTTGTCACATTCCCGGTGACAACGTTTCCTCTCCCCTCCCGGCCACAGGATTTACAGTCAGCTCCTCCCGCCAGGCACCAAAGGATGACACTAATGGCAGGCAAGAAACGATCTCATTTCAAAAACAAAAACAAAACTCTGATTGTGGAAAGGTTCCTTTAGCCTCAGGAGGGTGGTCCTTGTTCTCCTCATCCCTCCCAGTTGCCGGGGCGTTTATTGAGCTCCGGTGTGTGGTACCTAACTTCAGAGGATCTGCTCTGAGTTCCCAGCAGAGCCGCGGAGTTGCCACGGCAACCAGAAAGCCTTTGGCAGCTGGAACCACTGTACAGGCAAAGACGGTGGTGGTGGTGGTGGTGGTGGTGGTGGAGAAGCAGGCTCTGTGCCCAGCCATCTTCTGCTTTTACGCCTTGCTAAATCCCTGCTTCCCACGGAAGTCGCCTGAGGTTGGGGTCTTTGGATGCCTCATTAATCACTCCACAACCACCTGGAATTGGCCAGATTCATGGCTGAACTGAAATTGACCACCTAGTTACTTGAGAATATTTATCTCCCAGCAAACAGTTCAAGCCAGAAGTAACAGTGTTTGTGCATAGCGGTAAAGGGAACTGTTGCTACCCTCACTGAAATCACTTAAAGGAATTGGATGAGGATAACAAGGTTAGGGATTTTTCTTGCCTGGAATAAACAGATGTTTTACAGAGCTACACTTTTCTTTCCTCTCTTGTTCATCATCCTTTTACTTTTCTGAAAGATGCCCGTTGGACCTCCTTGTTTCTGTTCTCCCATTTCACGTTAATTAAGCAGCATCTTTCTCTTCCATAAAGCATGTTAATCAAAGCAGCACATATCAGATTACTTACATAACAATAAAGGTCCATTTTAATAGACTATGAGAAATAAATTTAGGCAATTTAGATGAAATGTAATGCAAATATATACCCTGGGTTTTGGGTTTTTCTTTTCTTTCTTTTTTCCTATTTCAGTTAAAAATGTGCTCTGGATAATTATTTAAATGTTTCATTGGATGCACACACTAATTCACTGATCTGATTAGCCACTCAGTAGGAATTAATTCACTTGAAGTACATTGTGAATAACAAATATTTGTCTAGTTACCCCTTGCATTTTCCTAAAATTAGGTAAGGGTTTGGCACATATTGATGGGAATATAATACTAACTAATGTTTTGAAACAATTGTTGATAGTCTTCCCATCAATAACTCTTAATGAGGTTTTGCTCTTAACTCTTCTCATATGTAACTGGAAGGTGCAGAGGACAGTTAAAAGAAATTAATGAAAAAGAAAGGTGAAGGAGATATCCTTGGGTAGTAACAAAGTGCCTGCTTATTCTAATAAAGATAAGGAACTGGAAAAAGGAAACTTCCCTATATTTTCCAAAAATCTTTATGTTTTTCTAACTTTGTGCTGAAATATTCTTCAATATTTTTATTTACGTACATTTACTTGATTTTTTTTAGTTCTATGTTCATCTGATATATATTTTTCCTTCTTATATGTCTTCCCAGAAATGGATCCTATTCTGCTGTCGCAGTTAAATTATTTTTTTCCTGGAAACTGTATAAAAGGGATTTAATCTCTCTGGAACCTGATAAAAGCAATGATAGTTTATATGTCAGCCATATCTTGATCCCAGCAGTCTATCCCCTTTGATTTGATAAACCAACTGTACTTGTGGGGTGGAATGGAATAGGAAATGGAGAATCTATGTACAGTAAATTCTGAATAAAGTAAATAAGGTACATTATATTTATTAAGCAAACCAGGGTTTCACAGGAGCACACATCTAGGAAAACATATCAGGTATCTTACAGGATTCTAGGTTAGAACTACAAAAGTGGCTAAGTAGGTAAGGAACCGGAGAAAGTTCTCTGATTTCCATTGTGGGAGTAGTTTTCACCTGGAGACCATTTGATTCCATGGGATTTTGACAGTGTCTGGAGGGACTTTCAGTTGCCACACTTGTGGGTTGGGTTAGCTATGATATCTAGTGAATATAGGCAAGGGTTGTGGATATAACCTTAAATTCACAGAAAAGTCCTCCCATGACGTAGAATTACAGAGTCAAACTGACAATATTGCCACCACCAAGAAGCCCTCTGACGTGAGTGAAGGGGTTAGGTAGGCAGATTCCATAGCAGGCGGCTATTTTTTGTACTGTTATTGAAGTCACCTTTCTCTTCCCTCTTCCTTTGGATGGCTGGAGCTTTCTGATTATTAAATGGTTCCGTATCTAGTTATAATGACTATCAATTCACAGTGCACACCAATTTTCTTTTTCTCAAAGTTGCTCATAAATCAATTTAGAATATAATACTTGGAATTCACACTACATTTGACTCAGTTATCCCATTCCTCTGCATATACTCGAAGGATTCAAACCATTCTACCACAGTGAAATAGTCACTTCAATGTTTATAGCAGCTCAGTTGACAATAGCTAAGCTATGGAAGCAACCTAGGGGCCCTTCAACAGATGAATGGATAAAGAAAGGACGGTATATATACACAATGGAATATTATTCATCCACGAAAGAATGACTTTATGACTTTTGTCAGAAAATGGATGGATCTGAAGACTATTATGCTAAGCAAAATAAGCCAGTCCCCAAAACCCAAAGGTGGAATATTCTCTATGACATGTGAATACTTACACACAACAAGGAGCAGGGGAAGAACACAAGTTCAGCTCAAAGGGAAATGAAGGAAAGGGAGGGGGTTCAGGATTAGGAGAGACAGTGTAATACATCTTACATAACTTTACTGTGAACACACAGTGATTCTTCACATCCTGTACAACCCAAAGACTGGGACCTAATTAGAATGATATACTCCATGCTTATATAAATTTGTCAAAATATACTCTATTGCTATGTATTACTAAAAAGAAAAATTTGTTAAAAGTTTAGGGTCATTGTTTTCTAAGAAGTCTTTATTAATTGAACACTATATGCTAGTCTGTCACATGTATGGCATGTAATAATAGTTACCATTTTTTGAGGGCTAATTATGTATCATAAGGTATAGTGCTTAACTACCCTAGATTATGGTACATGTAGTGGTCTCTCCTAAAACAATTGCTTCATATCTGTTTCATAGATAAAAATCATATTTTAAGAAATTAACTACTTCCCTACCAAAACACCAATTCTGTTTTCAAATTTTATAGATGAAGGATTGATAGTTTTTATCAAATATGATACCCCACTTAGTGCTTATCAAATATGATAACACATCATGCACATTATTATGTACGTATTTGATTAATACTTCTTTCCTCTAGAATTTAGCCTCATGAACACAGCATTTTATATTTTTTTCCATTTCATTTTTACTGTGAACCTTTTGTCCAAAGCAATGACTTATATGAAACAGGCATTCAATATATATCTGTATAATGAATAAGAATTCCATGCACAATTAAATGAATATGCAAATGAATGATTTTAATCCTTTTCTATATTTCTGGAGCTATATAGGGATCTCTATTCCTCATCTTAGGTCTCAAGTACCCATCCCTAAGTAGGCAAATTCCAGATCTTGCTTCGTGATTTATTCTTTCCCATCACATCACAAGGATTATTTTTCTGACTTATATATATCCATGAGTAAAATTAACAAACAAGCTACTTCAGTTTATGCAGTTTATTAGTAAAGTAAAACAGAGATGAGGGTCAACATATAGAGATTTCAAAAGATTGAAGTTGTCTACCCCTTCTTCCTCAACTGTCAGTCTTCTTAATACTGTGCCTGACCTCTAGAAAATAACCAAGTTGAGTCCAGAAGATGGTTCTTGATGTAAGGTAGCAATGGATCTATAGCTTCTGACTCACTAACCACCAGAAGCAAAAAGAAAAAAAAAAAAAAACTAGAAGGCCCTAAGAAGCTGCAGATCCACTGCTACTTAACATCAAAAGCCAAATTCTGGACTCCTATTAGCTGTACTTTGGAGCTTGGGGAAAGTTCTATAATTACCATTGTACTTTATGAATTTGAACTTCTGTCACTATTCATCTCCATTTATTTCCCCTTTCTACTGGTTTTCTGACAAACACACACATGTGCTTTTATGTCTAACATTAAAATATGTTCTGTTAACTTCCTTGACCTCCCTGATTTCTATGCCTTTAGTTTCACCTTCCTTAATAGCCATCCTTCTCTGATTCTTTATCTCTCATTCATTCTTCAAACTCTCTGCTCTCGTGTTTTCCACCATTAATGCTGCCATGCTGCTAAATCCAGTAGAGGCTTTCAATTCTTATCTTGTGAGATCCCTCATCCTCAGTTGCTCCAGTTGACCATCCCCTTTGTTAAATGCTCCTGTATATTTTGATTAGCCTTTAGCAAATTTTTCAAACTTTTTTTTATGTCTTTATCCTATCTTTTTAAACTCAATGTTTTGTGTTCCTCATACATAAGTTCAAGTTATTTTTTTTTATATCACACTGTCACCTTTGGCATCCCTATCTAGTCTCAAATATATACATACCATTGTAAAAGCTTAAGCATATATGCTCAAATGATACTGGTAGTCAAGGAATGTCTCTGGGGCTTCAGGAAAT